TGGACAAGACAAAGGGCCCATCTGGCCCTTTAGCCTGTCTGCCAACAGTGGCCAGCACCAGGTGCCCCAGAGAGGGTGGACTGAAGACAATAATCAAGCGATTTGTCTCCTGCCATCCATCTCCAGCCTTTGACAAACAGAGGCCGAGGACACCATTTTATCCCCTGGCTAATAGCCTTTTCTGGACCTAACCTCCATGAAATTATCTAGCTTCTCTTTAAACTCTGTTATAGTCCTAGCCTTCACAGCCTCCTCTGGCAAGGAGTTTTAGAGGTTGACTATGCGCTGTATGAAGAAGAACTTTCGCTCATTAATTTTAAACCTGCTAATCATTAATTTCATTTGGTGTCCACTAGTCCTTATATTATGGGAATTAATGAATAATTTTTCTTTATTCACCCTCGCCACACCACTCATGATTTTATATACCTCTATCATATACCCCCTCAGCCTCCTCTTTTCCAAACTGAAAAGTTCCAGTCGCTTTAGCCTCTCCTCATATGGGACCTGTTCCAAACCCCTAATCATTTTAGTTGCCCTTTTCTGAACCCTTTCCAAGGCCAAAATATCTTTTTTGAGGTGAGGAGACCACATCTGTACACAGTACTCAAGATGTGGGCATACCATAGTTTTATACAGGGGCAGTAAGATATTCTGGGTCTTATTTTCTATCCCTTTCCTAATAATTCCTAGCATCCTATTTGCCTTTTTAACCACCACTGCACACTGCGTGGAAGTTTTCAGAGAACTGTCCACGATAACTCCAAGTTATCCTAAGTTGAAATAGATATATTTCAGCTTATTTCAGTGTTATTCCAAAATAACACTGCTGTTTAGACATACCCCTAGAGTCCTAGGACTTCTCTGGAGCACTTGAAATGTCCCAGTTTTTCATTTCACCATTGAGCATGGTTCATGTTTCTGAGAGCAGTGCCAGATTTATGGACAAACTAAGTAAACAAGATCTTAGGACCTCAGATGATGAGGGGCCTCTAAATATAAAAAAATTACTAGTTTTTAGTTCCATCCTCTCCTATGTATCAGTATCTATGTAAATATAAAACTAGCATTTTTAGTTGCATTTTCTTTTCTGTTAGAGTACACATTTTTTTGGTAATGCTATGGGGCCTCTTAAACTTGACATAGCTTAGGGCCTCAGCATGTCTTAATCTGGTCCGGTCTGGGAATACAAAAAGTTTGGTCAAGCTCTGTGGCTCTTCCAAGGAGAATTTGCCCTGTGTCTACCAAGAACAGAGAGTCCCGTGGATCAAGAGTTCAGTGCAATGAACATGACTGGAATGAGCAGTCAAATGAGCACTGACAATATCAAAGCTTTTCTCTGGCTCAGACTGAAGTTAACACTAGCTCTGTGTTTCATGATGAGTAAGATATAGAAAAACCCTCCACCTTAAGACATCTGCACATTTCATAAATCATCATGTGAATACAAGGGAACTGTTAAAAATTTGCCCTTTTGGTTAACTATTTTGTGACATCACTCCCCTGTTCCCACCAAAAAAAACCAAACACACCACAACAGTGCCCCCAGCTTTTTGATTTTGAAGATATGATCATCTTAACTATAGGATTTATAGCAGTTCCTATTGCATCCAGTAGAGGAGAGTGCTGCACATACAATGTGTTTAAGGTGTATTTAATTATTTAATGCATTGTATTAAGTTACATACTCAGGGCCAGATTCTGCTGCCTCTTATGAGAACCCTGGGATGGGGTCCCTCTCCCTTTGTGCAGCTTGATTAGGAGCCAAGCAGATTGCCTCAGGGAAAACCCAGTTACTGCTCCTCATTCCAGCCTAGGGATGCACAGCACTTGAAGAAGGCAGGGCCATGGCTGGTAAATGCTAAGTAAGCTGCAGCACACAAAGGGGATAGCAGTATTCAGACACAGTCTCTGTTCTCTCAGGTACCTCCTGGCACCCATGCCCTGTAGTGGCGCAGCTGCATGCTGTCCCCAATATCCATCACCACCAGCAGCCACAGGAGACAGCTGGATCTGGGGTTGCCACATTAGCAACCCAGGCCACTTCTAAGGCAGAGCAGAGTGAGCTGGGAATTTGTTGACAAAATAGCCTTTCCATCAGAAAATGCAGATTTGTGAAAGCTGGGAACTGGGAACCTTTCACTGTGATGAGTTAGTCAGGTCAGTGATGGAATTTGTGGTGTGGCCCTTTGAACAGTGCAAAACAGAGGGGGGAAGAGAGAAAAAGAAACAGGAGAGTGGGAAATATTTAGGCCGTGTCCAGACTCAGGGGTTTTTTCGGGAAAAGTAGCCTTTTCCCGAAAAAACTTCCCCTGCGTCCAGACTCAAGCCGCGTTCTTTTGAAATTATTTCGAAAGAACGCGGCTTTTCTTTCGATGGCGGTAAACCTCATTTCACGAGGAAGAACGCCTTCTTTCGAAAGTTCCTCTTTCGAAAGAAGGCGTTCTTCAATGTAAATAGGCCGTCTTCGAAAGAGAGCATCCAGACTCGCTGGGTGCTCTCTTTCGAAAAAGCGGATTTCTCTTTCGAAAGATCCGCCTGCAGTCTAGATGCGATCTTTCGAAAGAGGCTCTTTCGAAAGATGCTTTCGAAAGAGCCTCTTTCGAAAGAAGCCTGCAGTCTAGACATAGCCAAAGAGAAAGAGAGAGCCATTTGCCCCAAAATGGCCAGTAGCCCAGTGCTAAGTGCTCACTTGGAATGTAAGAGATCCAGGTCAACTTAACTTCTTTCTAAGCTGGGACTTGCAGGGACTCAGAGCTGCCATGCACAGAAGTGCCACAACTGGGGTAAAGGTGCCTGGCCCCTGACCTGGAACACCTGCACTGAGAAAGAACTGGGGGGGAGATCTCTCTCTCATCCCAGAGCCTGTGCCTCCAGCCAGAGTCCTCATCCCCCCGACTCTGAACACCCTCCCAGATTCCAAACCCCTCAGCTCCAACTAACACAGATCATCCCTGTGCACAATGAATTTTATTATGTGCACCAATAGAGAGGTGATGTGTTGCACATTGTCTCCATATTGGTGCATATAATTCATTCTGTACATGGACATAAACCATTAGAGGGAACACTGGCCAGTGCCCAAACAATTAGTCTCTTGGCTATTCTGAGAGATTTTTTGGTGAAAAAAAATTGAAAGGGCCACTTCCCTCTAAAGTGTATTAGGCACGAGATTTGCAATCATGAATGTTTCCATGGGATGGCAAAACCATTTCTTGCTCTACTCGAGGTGAGGGTACCCCTTAATGTGCATAATCACCACACAGAGCCACATTAGCAGGAGCCTGATCCAGCCTGTGGTACAGGCCACTACCTCCACACCTCTCAGGAGACAAGAATATCTTAAAGGCTAACCCCATTCCCTGAAACAGCAGGGGCAGGAGCAGAGAACCCATGCCTCCCAATAGTGAGGGATAGAGTGAAGATGGCCAGCTTAAGCAGTATTACTGAGCATGCTCAGTCCATTTGATCATGCTCAGCACAAGCCAAGCAGCAAACCTGGGGGAAGGATGCACCCCCCAACCCCACACACACACACCATGCATCACCTGTGGGCAGGAGGAGAGCATTGCAGCTACCATACCATTGCTGCTGTAGTCGAGCCAAGCCCAGCCTGTTCCACAGTCCCATAATTAGGCCTGATACCAACAATGCCCTCATTCTGCTGCACTGCAAAACTCTTGAATGAGCTCATGAAGGTCCAGGACCACAGTACTGGGCACAATTTGTACCAGGTCATAAAGAAGCAGGAGATGTATTTAAAAATTGTATCTTTTCCCTAGAAAGAGGCTATTTTCAAGACCTAACCTGAGTAGCTGTTGCTTCAGCATTCATGAATAACTGGTTTGACAAATGTTCTGTTGTAGGCATTGTTTTCTTCCCATCACAAGAAGGAACTCACCCCTGACTTGCTGGTGAGTATGCTCGTCAAGTAGCAATGAGAGTGAATGCCCACTGTTATAGTCAGGACTTGCGAACAGGGGCAGCAAACAGGGAGTTTTGAGAGGGAGTTCTCCAGGTAAAGGAAGAGCAAATATGGCACCCTTGAGGTAAGTGGCTGTCTGTAGTGTGTGTTTGGGGGTTACTTGCTGTGTGTTTGTTTGTTTGTTTGTTTGTTTGTTTGTTTGTTTGTTTGTTTGTTTGTTTGTTTGTTTGTTTGTTTGTTTGTTTGTTTGTTTGTTTGTTTGTTTGTTTGAAGGAGCATGTGCTGTGGCCAGCAGTTGGAAGCTGTGAGCTTCTAGAGGTTTGAAATCTAGAATCCTCTGTTAATTGGCTGAGCCTTAGTCAGGGGGTGGGGCTATCAGGAAAGCCAAGGCTTTATAAAGCAGTGAGTCAGCGATCAGAGAGCTTTGTGAACAGGGGCAGCAAACAGGGAGTTTTGAGAGGGAGTTGGGAAGGGGAGTGGGAAAGGGGAAAGGTACACTTGCCATTCTTTATAGTTTAATTTAAAGGTTTTAATCAAAACTTCCTGATTTAACTAAAAAACTATCAATACCCTAGGTAGCTATAGGAGAGAATGCAGGCAGCTGCCCAGCAGCAGAGTGGGGGCTATCCTGTTTATTGTACTCAGTGTAGCATGTATGATTACCTGCCCCAGGGGTGGGTGGCGTATGTGTGCATTCGGTGCAAGGTGCTCCTGGCCCTCAGAGACCGCATACTTTGGAGGCCAGGTGGCTGAACTGGAGGATCTGAGGGAGTAAGAGAGGTATGTTGATGATGCTTTCCAGGACACTGTAGAATTGTCCCACCTCTAGTCATACAACTCCTGCGCTGTTAAGGAGGATGAAAGACTCAGGGAAGGAGAGCAGTCAATGGGAGCAGAGGGAAACCTTCCCATAGTTGGGACCTTCCTTCCAGATGTTGGGGTATCCTCTCTCACTGAGGTTACCTCTCCAGGGGAGGGAACTACAGTTATCAGGAAAGGGCAGGTGTTAATAACAGGAGATTCCATCATTAGAAATGTAGATGGCTGGGTTTGCAATTACTAGGAGACCCATATGGTTACTTGCCTGCCTGTTGTGATGGCTGCAAATCTCTCAAGGCATCTAGACAGACATATGTGTAGTGCTGGGGAGGGTGGTCATGGTTCATGTAGGTACCAATGACATAGGGAAGGGTAGCAGAGATGTCCTGAAGCCAAATTTAGGTTGCTAGTAAAGAGACTGAAATCAGGACCTCTATGGTGGCATTCTCAGAAATGGTTCCAGTTCCACGTGCAGAGCCAGGTAGGCAGGCAGATCTTCAGAATCTCAATGCATGGATGAGACAATGGTGTAGGGAGGAGAGGTTTCTATTTATAAGGAACTGGGGAAATGTTTGGGATAGGGGGAGTCTATACAGGATGGGCTCTACCTAAACCAAAATGGATCCAGACTGCTGGCACTTAACATTAAAAAGGTCCACGAGGAGTAACAGTAGTTTGAATTAGAAAGCCTAATTTGAACTACCTACTCCGTGCCACGTGTAGCCGCAGGCACGGAGTCTGAACTACCGGGGATTTAAAAATGGCGGCGCCCGGCAAGATGCAAATGAAGCCCGGGATATTTAGGGTATGTCTACACTACCACCCTAGTTCGAACTAGGGTGGTAGTGTAGACATACCCTATGAGAATAACTACCCGTTTGGGAGATCAAATGCCCCATTCTGTGCAGTTTGCCCTAATTAAACAATGTCAGTGTGGCCATTGTTCTGGGGGGCTAAAGCACCACACCAGATTGACTCTGAACTCAAAGTCAGTCTCTCTAGACACTTCAAACTTTAAGATGTATAAACTCAAGTAAAAAGTTAATGGGGCCCATCTGGTACATGGACTTTCAGAATGGTAAGATTATTTTCTTAGACTAGCTAAAAAGAGAAGAAGCATATTCCATACATGCAAAAATGGTCCAATCAATCAGTTTTAAAAGTAAATTCAATACAGTACAGCTGACCATGGAATTAGATGGCAGAACATCCAAGTGTTGCCTCAGTCATGGGATTCCTCATGTCCAGTATGTAGAGTGCCCCTTCTAGCTCATCCCTTTCGCAATGGAATGCTACACTGTATTATACTGTTCAGCCATTCAATGGTCCTGCATGTAAAATATCTTATTTAAATGAACCTCAGCCATTCCTTGCAGAGCAATAAGGGATCTTGTGATAAACATATCTGGTGTATATAAGGAAGTTCTATAACCAGTCCATGTCTGGTACAAGATGTAGCCAATTATTTTAGTTTATCATGTTATGTCATATATAAATTATTGTATGCTAAATAAGAGTTAAATTATAGGATTATAGAAGTATAAGATTGATCAGTAGTTAGATACCAAATATATAATTATCCTAAGTAAGGAGGGTTGAAATGCAAGACCTGCAGGCTGTAACCTGTAAGGTTTCAGCTTAGCCATACTAGCCCATACTTTATTAAATGCTTAGCTTAAGTAAGTGACTAAAAAATGAACCTATGCTGCAAAATTACAGGAAAAGATGTACCAATGGATGCCATTGTGAAAAATTAACAGTTAACACAAGGTTTTACTCACAAGATACCCTGTAGTCATGTTTTTCTAGCACATGCCCTAACTGCAGGGTATACTATGTGTAAATGCTAATGAAATACAGTATAGCAAATAATCACATTATAAAAAGAGGGTGCCTATTTAGGAACACTGAGCTCAGTATGGGAAACTCAAGCAGGAATCATCCTTTTTACTGATGATCAATCCATGAGAGACCCATCAAACACCAACACTATTTAGTAGGATGGGAGTATAACTACTTATTAACTTGTGCATAGGTATTTATAGAATTTTTAAACTTTGCTGGTAACTTTAATAAAACCTGTAAAACCTTGTACTAGACCTTGTACTTGTAAAATACAGCTGTGATCACAATCCTTGGACTTAGTGTTCCTGTAAACTTTAAATCTGATGCAAGAAACAGAAGTGAGCTTCATTCTGTTGAGCTTGGAATTGTAGCCACCAGAGTCTAACCCACGTGTAATACTACATTACCAAATTCACATTATATAAAATAAAAGGCTACAAAGATCAAGACATGGTGTCAGGCGTAAGCCGAGAACAGAAAGAGAAAGAAATTAACGAATGTGGAACACAAAAATAACAAAGCAACAAAGATCATGGGATCTCATGCCACTTTTCACTGCTCCAGAGAACTACAGCTTTAACAAACCTTCCAAATAGACAGATTGGAAACTATATTTTGGAAGATTTTGAATTGCTAAAAGAACTGCATAAAGAAATGGGAGATGCAGGTATTTATTTTTTTAAATGCTATGGTTAAGCATGTCTTTGAATTCTTTGACTTTACCAAAGATAGTCAAAGATGACTATGAAAACATTCTGGCTATGTTTGTTGCATACATTATACCTCAGGGACATGTAGTTTATGAAAAAGCTTGTTTCCACCAAAAAATTCAAGAGCAAGGGGAAAATATTGAATGTTTTATAAGAGCTCTGTATACTTTGTCTGAAAAATGTGACTTAGGGAATACAAAACAGGCTGCTTATTAGGTTAACTGGTAAAAACCTCTAGCTACAACTGAAGACATAAAGACAGATTTAACCATATTGACTGCTATAGAAATGGCAAGGCAGTCTGATTAAATCAAACAGGAAAAAGGCAGGAACAACTTGGAAAAAAATAGAAAGCATCATAGAAACTATAACAGGTATTTGAATATTAAGAGTCAAGTATCATAAAACCGAGTCAAGACTAAAGAATTCCCAGGCTGAGAGGGACAAATTCTGGCCTATTAGGTATGGAAGAAGTCAAATCCGAAGAGATGATGTATGTCTAATGAGAGATGCACAGTGTAATAAATGCATGAGATATGAATATTTTGCAGCTGTTTATTATACAAAATTAATCAGGGAGTTGACTGATATTACAGACCAGGAGTGGCCAAGTTTACTGATCCTTTGAGCAGCATATGATAATCTTCAGAAATTTGAGAGCTGCAAGACATGTACAACCTTTACAAGTGCATTTTTTAAAATATCAACACCATACTTACTCTATCATGGCTAATTATAGTCAGAGCTAGAGGCTTTGTGGTTGTATGTCTTTGGAAATCTAGTTAATAGCTCCTCTGTACTTGACAATGTAAGTCAGATGTTATCCTGCAATTCTTACAGATCGTATTATTTTGATTAACTTCATCATGGATTACAGTGATTCACAACAGTATGTTGTACTAAATTGAAATTAGTTGCTTAGTAATCTTCTTGAGCTGAGGATACTTCATTCCTAGAACTTACTTCCAGAACTTAATTTTAGACTTTGATTTATTCACCATCTTTACTGCCTGGTCTTCCTAGAGTTCCTTTAATTCCATTTCTACAGTAGATGTTTCTGTAACCGTAGTTTTGGGGGTGGTCAGTCATTATTGATCACATGAAACATAAATGGATTTACAAGAAAGGCAACGCAGACTCTCAGTTTTTGATGCCTTCAAACATATCCTGAAAGTCATCAAATAGTCCTTGTAGTTTACCTCTGTATTCCTCAAATTTGTGATCTGCTTTGATTTGTTTACTCTTGGAATGGAGAAAGTGGCTAAAGTCTCTTGACACTATGTCTCTTTGCAGAAGCTTTAATTTGTTTTGGAAGCTGAAGATTGTCGAGTAAGGTCAAAATTAATTTTATCCTTCCCTTGGATTGAGAGTTTGCAGATGTGTGCAATATCAGTTAAAACATCAGATTCTGCATCCATTGTTCATCTTTCAGTGGTAGCACTTTTCCTTTTCTTCAAGGAAAGCACCGATACGCTCCAAAAGTTCCACAAACCTGTTTAAGATATTGCTGGTTGATGACCATTTCACAATACAGTAGAAAGAGATAACATTAGGTTTGACTTCAAGATCCAGCTCTTCAGTGACATTTTTTAACTGTTGATGAGTCTTCTCAAGTGGATAAAATTGACAATTTCTGAACTTATTTTCATACTTAAAGTAGCTGCCTGTGACTCTGGAAATTTAGGATCACTTTTTAGGACTCTGATAAGACCTGCTTTTTTCACACCATTGCAGGTGTTCTGTCTGCCACAACACTGACAAGTTTATCCAGT